ATATGGTATAGTGTAGTGTAGTGTGTAGTGTAGTTTAGTGTAGTTTAGTGTAGTGTAATATAATATAGAATGGAATAGAATAGAATAGAATAGAATAGAATAGAATAGAATTCTTTATTGGACACACAAGGAATTTGTCTTTGGTGCATATGCTCTCAGTGTACATAAAGAAAAAGTAAAATATATTCATCAAGAATCATTAGATACAACACTTAGTGATAGTAATAAGCAATCAAATCATACTCGGAAACAATAAAACAATATAAATTGTAAAGATACAAACAACATGGATTTAGCCTAGGTGGGAAGGATTAGAAGAATAATAGTAGTTCAGTCTTAGTAGCTAATTTGACAGTGTTGTGGGAATTAGTTGTTTAGTAGAGTGATGGCATTCAGTAAAACTGTCCTTGTGTCTTGTTGTTCTGGTGTGCAGTGCCATATAGTGTCATTTTGAGGGTAGAGGTTGAGGATGTCCGGGATATTAGAGGTATATAGATATTTTCACAGTCCTCTTTTTGACTCCTGCAGTATACAGCAATTTGTATAGCATATATAGCAATTTGACTTTGACTTTCAACTGGATTTCCCTCTGTCAGTTTTCCTTGTGGAGAGAGGGGCTGAAATTGTCCATGCAGGTCACTGGAGCCTTTTGAGTGTTTTTGTTCTCATGGGAGAGGAAGGTCCTGAGTATAAGCAACATGTTATAGACAGGAACCTTAATTTAGTCAATTGAATTTTATTTGCAATGGATACATTTAGCAATTTTATCAGTATTTCTTATTAGTCTCCCATCCAACTACTAACCAAATCCAAACCTGTTTTTTTGCTGAGATCAACTAAGGTTGACTAGAAACAAGTACACGGAAATGTATGACTCCTAACAAGCCTAACCCTTACCCACTGCACGGAAAGGAACAACAAACTCAGAAGATAATTGCTAATGAGCTCCTGGCCAGGGAATGAACCTTAGTGCACGGCTGACATTGCAGGTCCCTGAGATTAGCTTTGATGTGGTAGAACACATACCTTGCACTCAGCATGTCCTAAATTTAATATCCGGCATTTTCAGCTAATTGTGAAAATAAGGTTCTTGAAATTCTAAAGGGGCCAGGCCACTTGAGGTAGATAAATTTGAGATGAACTAACAAAAAGGTTATAAGACAATTCCTATGTTTCTAAAAATGTAGCTATCAGCGTCACTTATTAACTTCAACATTGCAATACTGAATTAAATTGAGCCAACAAATGATTTGATATCATTTCAAAGCAACACAAATCAGCAGAGCTTCATACAACCAATATGTTGATTCTGCCATCAGGGTAACTAAACATTCTGAAATGCCTCTTTCAGTATGTTCCCAGCCCAGAGTTCCTTTACTCCCACATCAGAACAAATTTCTTTGGGGTTTTTCATGACAGTTGTTCCTGAACAATTGGCATTGATTGACTTCAGTTCCTGCTTTAAAATAGAAGAAACTCAACAATTCTGTAGTTCATCACAGCAGATGAATATCCAGTCTCTATTTCTGCTCAGTAAAGTACAGTTTAACACAGTAAAATCACATCTTGCCAGATCTTAAATTGTCTCTTAAAATGTCAACCAAAACTCTTTTGTTGCTAATGTAAATACGGGTAGGAAAGATTGCAGGGTCTTTTTGCCAATAACATTTTTGTGCAATAGTAATTTTTCTCTGCCTTAAATTTCTTCCTTGTTCCCTTTTATACCAAAAGATTAAGCTAATGCCACCCCATTGCTGCACTTCTTGAATTTAAAGACATGCTGGCCAAGTGACTATAGAATAGGATTATGCCCTTCAATGGGGTGTTTTTCTTTAACAAAGGGGTGAACAAAGCATCCTTATAAGGCTGCTCTATGATTCATGGGGCCCTAACTTTTAACAGAAAAATGATACATTTGTTGCCTCTCTTTTTTGGGTTTACTTTTCTTCATTATTTGCAAAGGCTACATACAAGGCTCTTGCAGGGTCCCCAAACTTGGCAACTTTAAGACTTGTGGACTTCAACTCCCAGAATTTTCCAGCCAGCATAGCTCATATGAGATCATGGGAGTTGAAGTCCACAAGTCTTAAAGTTGCCAAGTTTGAAGACCTCTGCAAGTTTTAGGGCTGTTCTAAATAATGGAGGACATAGTACGGAGGCTGCAAAACATCTTCTCAAGAAGGAACACGGTTCTGCTTCATCTCAACAAAAACAAAAACAAAGTCACCTTATCCTGTATACATATGAATGCTATTTTAAAAAGTATATAAAACCAGGCCAAAAGATGGGCCTTTGTGCAGCAATGCAGAATCAGTTCCAAACATGTATCACTGCACAGCATTAACTGGGTTTGAGAGCTAAGTTGATTTTTTTCTCTGGCTCCTCATGGCTAATTTAATGCCAGAGGAAAGCTAATTTTCTCCCTTTTGCAATGTTGCAATTCTGCTGACCTTGTTGATGGCTTATTCTCCTTTGGTAGGAACTCTTGAATCACCCTGTGTCTGGGTGTCAAGGCAACCATTATCATTGGGGTTCAGGGCCCTCATTCTGGTGATTGGTGGTAGCATTGTTTCTCCCTCGGTCCTCTTTCTAGCTGCCATAGCAGTTGGCAACTATGGTTACAATACAGAGAGAAGTGCTTGATTACTAAAATGCTGACATGTTATTTTTTTTCATTTGTTGCAGTTATCAAGCTCTTCATAGCAACCTTTCTGGGGAAGGGAGGCAGTGGAGTGGCTGGTTGAACGTGTTGGAAAAAACGTATGCAACATGGGTGCTGTATTGAAACAAGTATTGTGGCGTGGAGGTTTTAGAGGCCTTATATTGCATTACGTGGTTCATTTTAAGTGAACAACGATGGTTACTTGTTGCATTAATGAATTGCAACTAGCCTGGGAATCCTGTAGTTAGCAACTTTTTCCTTCTGTTTTGCATATCAGAGAAGGAATCTCAGCTTCATGCAATGTACTTTAAATTCTGCTTGGTAAGAACAAATGAAAATATAAGGTATAATTTTAGGAACTCAAATAATGAGAATTTTTATTTATTTACTTGTTGTGGGAAGCGCAACACTTCTTCCAACAGATAGAAGATGGGACGGAATTTTGCATTAAAATATAAACTGAACAAATTTCTTTCTTGTTTGTGCTAGTAAAGGATATAGAAATTAAGTCTGAAAGTGCATTTGCAGTCCAACACATTTAGCAATGCAATGCAGTATGCACAGAAGTGTAGAACATTTTAATTTGAAAATATTTTTCAGACGGTTACCTATTAATATTTGATTAACAGTGTTTCCCAACCTTGGCAACTTGAAGATGTCCGGACTTCAACTCCCAGAATTCCCCAGCCAGCATTCGCTGGCTGGGGAATTCTGGGAGTTGAAGTCCAGAC